GGAGCTGGCACTGAAAAACACTCAGGCAAGGCCATGTTGTCGGGAGCAGAACTGGCCACGAGGCAGGGACTGTCGTGGACTTCATCCCAGGACTGCCTGGCTTCATCCCACTCTGCAGCCGAGTGGAGAACTGGGCCGGAAGTGCAGGTGGGTGTTGGGCACGTTTCCAAGAGAACAAAGGGGCCCCCCAGATGGGCTGTGCAAGGCCCGGCACAGGGATCGCTTTTCAGAGAGTACAGAGGGTGTTCTTACCCCGCCATGGACCCAGATGAAGGGATGGGAGCACCAGAGTGATCCCGGCCACTTCTCGGGAGGGCTACGATGCTTACCTACTGCTGGTCCCCTCCGGCTGCACCCCGCGCTGTTCAGGGGGTGCAAGGACACGCAGGGGCAAGACCGTGGCCCAGTGTTGTGGCCAGGGGAGACCCCAGATCTGGCTCAGAGCCCGCCTGCACCCTGCCCCATGGCCAAACCAGCCCAGTAAGATCACTAGGAAGACCTTGAGTGTTTGTGGCAAGAGAAGGTCCCCAGAGAGAAGGGGTGTGATGTGGAGAAATGGTGTCACAAACGGGCTTTATAGAGTCTCCAGACCAAGCCGGATCTCAGGAGCCAAGGCCCCTCCGTGCTGTGCTGAGACCTCTCCGTGCCGGCTCTGCTTTCTGACAAGCTCAGTGCAGATGTTGCTTCTTGGACGCTGAATCCGACGGCAACAATGATTCTCCTTGGACCAGCCTCATGGACTATGAAGGGCCCACTCCCCCCCACACCCCCTGTTCCACAACACAGTCCAGGGATCAGGATGTGCCAAGGCTCCCCATATTCCCAGAGGCCCAGAGAGGCCTGAGGTAGTGCTGACCCAGTCGAAAGCCTGTGGTGCCTGCAGGCCCCACATGTCCCGGGCCCCCAAGGAGTTTGTGGCTTCCGTCATGGACAATTGCGTACCTCAAGGTTCCTGCACGGGAGCCCCCCCAAGGACTGGATGGTCTTGTCGTCCAAGGAGAGGCAGAATCCAGGGGTCCTCACTCCCAGCATGAATTACCCTCAAGCATCCTCTTAGGGGGTCCCCAGCCTTCTTCTTCATCCGCTTCCTCTTCTGACATCCTCAGAAAGGTTCAAGGTCCCGCTTCCTGATTTCCTCCCTCTCTGTCTCTCTCTCTCTCCTGTCTTCCTTTCTCTTCTCTCCTTTCTCCTCTCTCTCTCTCTCTCTCTCTCTCTCTCTCTCTCTCTCTCTCTCTCTCTCTCTCCCCCTCCTTCCCCACATCTAATATAAATTGTGTGGGCTGGAGAGGTAGCACAGTGGGTGGGGCCCCTTTCTGAATCATGATACTTGAGGAAGAACATTCTAGAGTTTTCTGGGAACGGCAAGAGTATCAAAATACAGTTCTGTACCCAATAAGAGAGAGAGAACAAAAGGGAATGCCCTGCCACAGAGGCAGGGTGGGATGGCGGGGATGGGGGGTGGGAGGGATACTGGGATCCGTGGTGGTGGAAAACGGGCACTGGTGGAGGGATGGGTATTTGATCATTGTATAATCGAAACCCAAGCGCAAAAATTTGTAAGTCTACAACTGTACCTCATGATGTCTCACTAATAAAAATTTTTAAAAAAATACAGTTCTGGGCCCACCCCAGCCCCAAAGCCTACTGCCACTTTTTTTTTTTGGTGGGGGGGGGGAGGGATGCAACCCAACCCTGACAGGAGGAAAGGGAGAACGAGGCCCTTCCATACTTACCTCAGAGCAGAGAGACTAGGTGACACCTCACTTCCTTAAGTATTATTTTTTAATCTACTTTGTTTATTTTTGTGGGGGCTGTATTCAGGGCTTACTCCTGGCTCTGCGCATGGAGGTGAGTCCTGGCAGGGCTTGAGGGACCCTATGGGGCATTGGGGATTGAACTTGGGCTGGTCTCATGCAAGGTGAGTACCCTCCTCACGGCACTCTCTCTCCAACTCTTTTTTTTTCTTTTTGGGGTCACACCCAGCGATGCACAGGGCTCTGCACTCAGGAATGACTCCTGGCGGTGCTTGGGGGACCATATGGGATGCTGGGAATCGAACCCGGGTCAGCCCCATGCAAGGCAAACACCCTACCTGCTGTACCATTGCTCCAGACCTTCTCTCCAACTCTCAAGTATTCTTATTTTATGTTTTGTTTTTTTCTTTTCTTTTCTTTTTTTCTTGTTGGGTCACACCCAGCGATGCACAGGGGTCACTCCTGGCATTGCACTCAGGAATTACGCCTGACAGTGCTTGGGGGACCCTATGGGATGCTGGGGGTTGAACCCGGGTCGGCCGCGTGCAAGGCAGACGCCCTCCCCGCTGGACTATGGCTCCAGCCCTACATTTATTTTTTTTTTATTTTAGCTTTGAGGGCCAAGCCTGGTAAGGCTCAGGGCTTCCTCTGACTCTGTGCTCAGGAATTAGTTCTGGCATTCTTGGGGGTCAGTGCTCCCCACAGTGCTCTCTCTCAGCCCATCATCTTAGTGTGTGTTTGGGACCCCTCATGATTTCTTCTCACTAATATTCCTTTTCAGCAGGAGAAGGCTTTCCCCACAGGAAACGGGAACTGGCATGGGAGGGACTAACTATTCCTTGGGGTGGGCAAGAGCCAAAGCTGGGCTCACGCTCACCCTGGCCCCTGCACTCCTCCCCCAGGAGAGGCACCCCAGGATACCCTTAACCCAAACCCAAGGCTACAGCCCACCCTGCAGCTGGGGTCGGAACACTGCAGCCTCGAGGGCATCCAGGACCCCCTGGTACAGCCCTGAAGTTCTCACAATAGCTCAGACATGTTTCCTTCCTGTGATGAATGGAACCTTCTGGACCTTTCCAGAATTCTGGGCCTCTGCCTGGTTCTACCTCTCGGGGATGGGTCTAAGGTGAAAGACACTCATTCAGTCCTGCTCCTGCTTTTCAGCTTGGTCCCCAAAGGCAGCAGGGCCCACTGAGGCCCAAAGGCCAAGCCAAACCCTCTTCCCCAGAGCCTCCTTCACCCCAAGGGGTCAGGCCTTGTCCTACCCGTCACAGAAGCCTCTGGGGAGACCAGCCTAACTGCCTGCTCACAGTGGAGGCACCTCCAGGACTGATCCCTAAGAGCAGAGGCAGGAATAAAACCCTGTGCATAGTTGGGTGTGACCCCCCCCCACCCCAAGGGGGGGGAAAAAACAGACAAAATAAAACAGAGAAAACACAGTAAGGGTGGCTGATTTCTTTTTTCATTGCTTTTTTTTTGCTTTTTGGGTCACACCTGGCGAGGCTCAGGGGTTACTCCTGGCTCTGCACTCAGAAATTACTCCTGGCGGTGCTCGGGGGACCATATGGGATGCTGGGAGTCGACCCTGTGCAAGGCAAACACCCTACCCGCTGTGCTATCACTCCAGCCCCAGGGCGGCTGATTTTGCCTCCAGGATCATTCCTGGCCTTAAAGGTTCTCTGCTCTGATGCTGAGCCATGGAGCAGTGAGATTGGGCACAGGTGTAGGCTGGCCGGCTTCTGGGGCACAGTTGGCGCTTGGAGCCTGTCAGCCATGAAGCCAAGGCGACAGCCCACTCTGCGGCTCAGAATCTCTGCAGCCTCGAGGACATCCGGGACCCCCTGGTACAGCCCTGTAGTTCCCACAATAGCTCAGACATGTTTCCTTCCTGTGATGGACAGAACCTTCTGGACCTTCCCAGAATTCTGGGCCTCTGCCTGGTTCCGCCTCTCTGGGATGGGTCTAGGAGTCTAAGTGGCAGAGCAGCAGAGGTTGGGGGGTGATCTGGACATTCCCAGCCCCAGCGAGGAAGGGAGCAATGTTGGGAGCCCTGGGTGCCTCAGCCTTCTTCAGGATGGGGCCCCAGAGTGGGTGCAGAGGCTGAACCAGGTGACAGAAGGGGGTGGGGGGGGCGAGGTGAGAGCAAAGAGCTGGTATGGCTGGTGCTGCATCTCCTAGGCCCTGCATCTATATGTCCCTCGCGCTGGCCCAAAAGAGCCTACCCAGGGGACTAGGTAGTACAGCGAGTAGAGTGTTTGCCTTGCACGCTGACACGGGTTCAATTCCCAGCATTCCATATGGTCCCCTGAGGACCACCAGGAATAATTCCTGAGTGCAGAGCCAGGAGGAACCCCTGAGCATCACTGGGTGTGACCCAAAAACTAAAAAAAAAAAAAAAAAAAAAAAAAAAAGGAGCCTACCCAGTACCCAGTGTCTGCCAGAGGCCCGGGACCATTGCTCAGACGCTCTCCTGCCGTGCCCACCCCAAGTCCTCGTGTAACACCCTGGCAGAATGCCGGTCTCATATCCCCCCACACCCAACCTCTGCCAACCTCCAAATACCCACCGGAGCAACTGTGAACTGAGATCCTCCCCCAGCTGCAGGAAACCCCCCACTTCCCATCCCCTCACCAGAAGTCTGTCCTGGAGCGTCCGGGGCTCAGGGTTCAAGCGGCTGTCCCCATGGCCTGGTCCCCTGGACCTAGTCTTCCAGGAGAAAGCTGGGCTCCACTAGGCTCTCCCACCCCTGCTTCTCAACTTCCCCCCCCCCCCCCCGTGCCCCGTGTGAACACCCAGAAGACAGGCGCAGCAGTGCTCGGCTCTCGTGTGCGTTTATTGAGTGCCCAGCGACTTGCGTGGCACTGTGCTTGGGGCTCGCGCCCCGGTCTCGTGGGAAGGAGCCCCCGGAGCGGGGCCGCGCTACGAGGAACATTTTTTTCATAGCTGCTTAACATCTGGTGAGGGAAGTGGGGCGAACTAAACACAAAACAAGTTCCTACTGGAAAGCGACAGAATCTCCTCGGAGCGCACTAGAGCATCTACGCGTGCGCGCGCTCGCACACACGCACGCACGCACACGGCCGCACGCACCCCCAAGGGACACGTAGGCGCCCCCCGGCCAGCCGTCCATGCATGCACACGCAGGCGCCGTGGGCATGCACACACACACACACACACACACACACACACACACACACACACACACACACCGGGAGGGGACACGCACGCGTGCCCGCCCGCCCGGCTATCCATGCGTGCACACACCACGACCGCGCGGAGAATCTGGCTGATGCTACCGAAAAACACTACGCCTCCAGGTTCTATGAAGCAGTCTGTCCTAGGAGCCTGCAGCATGCAAAACTTGGAAGATTCGGAGGTTCACAGTTAAGGAGGACAACGGGGGTTACACGAGGACTTGGCCCTCTGCGGGGACACCCCTCCCCGTGCGCCCCCACGCTCGAGCACTTGGGGGTGGCACTGTGTCCGCGACCTTGGCGAAGCCTGTGTGAGGGATCTCAGAGCAGAGCTGGGGGCCGCGGGGTGGGGTGGGGGGTGCTCTCTGTCCAGGGGCAGGGCCCACCGATCTTCCAGGCGGAGCTCGGGGCTCGCGGCTCGGGCTGGAGTCCCGCAAAGTGTTCCTCGCGGATGGAGGGCAGAGGTCTGCGTCCCGCCGGCTCTGCGGCCGCCCGCTGTGCTAACGCATCTTGTAGTCATTAGATACAGATGTTTCGCACAGCTGGCCCTTAAAATCCAAGTCTACTGTGAAGTCGAGGTCTCGCTGCGAAGGAAGAGGCAGAGGGCAGGGGTGAGTGTGTGGAAGGAGGAAGTGGGGTCCAGCTCCCTCCTTGGAAGCCGTGGGAAAGGGACAACTGTCACACCCCCCAGGGAGGTCCACCCCGCACCTCCCCCCACACAAACAGCCCTCAGGAGTCCTTTCTGGGACTTCAGGAACCTCCACAGCACGTTTGGATCTCTGCCTTAAATTCTTCCTTTGGCAATATCCAAAGGAGAGAGAGAGGGGGGGGGGGTGGGGGGCAGAGTACAGGGCGTTAAGCACTTGCCCTGCATGCAGCCACCAGGGTTTGATCACTGGCACAGACGAGGGTCCCCTGAGCCCTGCCAGGAGTGATCCCTGAGTGATCCCAGAGTCTTAAGTAAGCCCTGAGCACTGTCCCCCCAAACAAAAGCTGGATGCAAGATGGGCTCCATCTTGGGGAAAAAAACCCAGTGGGTGGTTTCGTCTCAGGGGAACAACCTTCAGAGCATCCGTCAGCCCTTCTTGGACCCCCCACCCAAGGTATCTCGGCCCCTACGCAGGAGAAATAGCAGACCCCCAGCCACCAAGCCCTGGGGGCCTGGGAAACAGACTCCTTCTGGTTAGAAAGCCCCCCAGCAGACCGTCCTTCCCTGGTTCAGCTCCTCCAAAGAGGGGCAACACCCTAAGTTCCTTCCTAGGGCGTCTAGAGGGTACCAGAGGAAGCCTCGCTGTCCAGAGCCCAAGGGTTCAAGGCGGGGTCGCACCTGTGAATCCTGTCCTGTCCCCACCAGCTTCCTGCTCCCTCTCTCCCTCAGGGGACCCTCTGACTTTGCCCTCTAGACCCTCATGCCCCTGGGGGAGGGGGTCCCGGAAAGTTCCAGGCACTCAGAAGGAGTCCTGTTCTTTCTCTGCTCCTTCTGCTCCCTTAGTCCCCCGGTCTTGGCACTCACCACATTTTTGGCATTTGGCTTCATGGATATGGTCCCGTAGATTTCTTCCCCCCTCCGCACGGTGAGGTAATCTTCCAAGTAGAAGACGGTCTGTTTCCAATGAGTGTAGGGGGCATCGGGGGCTGGGGGGGGCAGGGAAAAGAATGAAGTCTCAGCAGGGGTGAGGTGGCTGAGTGGTTTGCTCTGGGACGAGTCTGAGGTAGCTTTTTGGGTCACGCCCTGCGATGCACAGGGGTCACTCCTGGCTCATGCACTCAGGAATGACTCCTGGCGGTGCTCGGGGGGACCCTATGGGATGCTGGGAATCGAACCCGGGTCGGCCGCGTGCAAGGCAAATGCCCTCCTTCCTGTGCTATCACTCCAGCCCGTTTTGAGGTCGTTGAGCCCTGCCTCCCCTGGGCCTCTTGTTGGCTCACTGGCCCCGTCCTTGTGTGGGATGCCAACCTCTGCCAGGCTGACCGCCCTCCACCCCCACCCCAGCCCTCGGAACTGCAGTTCCGCATCAGGAATCAGAAGGGAAAGAAGCCGCCACAGGAAGGGCAGAGGGAGACCTGCCCGGCCTCATCCCTGCGCGCCCCCCAAAACAAATACACCCCAGAATCCTCAGAACACGCCCATGTGTGTCTCACGCACTCAGAGGCATGAAACCTGGCGGGGATCAGACATCTATGGAGTAGCCTCACCGTTTTCCCCCAGATAACCGTGCTGAGACACATGTGCCGCCGTTTCCCCCAACAACACAAGTTCAGGGGCTGGAGCAATAGCACAGCAGCGAGAGAATTTGCATTGCAGGCGGCCGACCCCGGTTCGATTCCCAGCTTCCTATATGGTCCCCCGAGCACCGCCAGGAGTCATTCCTGAGTGCACGAGCCAGGAGGAACCTCTGAGCATCGCCGGGTATGACCCAAAAGGAAGCACTGTGGCACTTGTCCTCCCGTTCATTGATTTACTCCAGCGGGCCCAGTAACGTCTCCATTGTGAGACTTGTTGTTACTGTGTTTGGCATATTGAATACGTCATGGGGAGCTTGCCAGGCTTTTGCCGTGCAGGCGAGAAACTCTTGGTCTCTGGCCGGGCTCTCCGAGAGGGGCGGAGGAATTGACCCAAAAGGGTAAAAAGAAAAAAGAAACAAGAACACAAGTTCAACAAAGAGCTTCTCTGCCTGGCTGGGACTGGACAGGGGTCCTCTGAGTGAGTTGACTATAGTGGGGTGTAGCCTGTCTCAGTGGAACAGTCTCGGTCTTATCAATTTTCTCATCTGCGTACCCCACAAGATGCCATTGACTGGGAGGGCTGGGCTGTGTCCAGCTTGTTTTCTGTTATATCCTGAGTCCCCCCTTCCCCACCCCCTACCCTACCCCACACTGGTAGATCTATAACTTACTCCATCAGTCTAAGAGGAAAACGTGCCTTTTCCTATTGGATGGAACTGGAGATGGAATTGGAGTGGGGGGGGGGGGGGACATTTGGCAGAATTAGTCAGGGAGAGAAGGGCAAATGCTAGGAAACCTGACTCATCTGTGGGCTGCAGAGCACCACAGCAAAGAAATGGGTGAGAAGTTGTTGATAACAACCACCCCTGGACTTTGACTACCGAACTGAGATCGCCAGCTTGCTGGGAGAGGAGGGAGGAGCAAGAGGCCCACGGGGAGGAGGGGGAAGACACAGAATGATGGCACGGATCTGTGGGGTACAGGTATAAACATAGGATGAGACTAATACCCAAGGACAGTAGAAACAAGGGCCAGGAGTCTTGAGTGGTTCCTTGGTCCCTGATTGGAATCCTGCCTCAAGTGCTGGGGGAGAGGGAGTTGGGATAGAAAAGGGAACACTGTGACAATGATGACTGGAAGGAATTGCTCTGGATGGAAGATGTGTGCTGAAAGTGGGTTAAGGCCCAAACATGATGGCCTCTCAGTATCTGCATTGCAAACCACGATGCCCAAAAGGGAAGAGAGAGAGACAGAGACAGAGAGACAGAGAGAGACAGAGAGAGAGACAGAGAGAGAGAGAAGAAAATGCCTGCCAGAGAGGCACAGAGTCAGGAGGCTGGGGAAGGGGGGTAGTGGGAGGGATACTGGGGACATTGGTGGTGGAAAATGCACACTGGTGCAGGGATGGGTGTTGGACCACTGTATAACTGAAACTTGATCGTGAACAGCTTTGTAACTGTATCTCACGGTGATTCAATAAAAATATATTTTTAAAAAAGTGACATACCACATACCGCATCGTGTTAAGTGAAATGAGTCAGAAAGGGAGGGGTAGACATAGAAGGACTGCACTCATTTGTGGAATATAAAGTAACAGAATGGGAGACTAACACCCAAGGATAGTAGAGATAAGGACCAGGAGGATTGCTCCAAGGCTTGGAAGCCGGTCTCACATGCTGGGGGGGAAAGGCAGCTCAGATAGAGAAGGGAGCACCAAGTAAAGGATGCTTGGAGGGCCCGCTCGGGTTGGGAGATGCATGCCGAAAGTAGACAGAACATGATGGCCACTTAACACCTGCACTGCAAACCACAACACCCTAAAGGAGAGAGAGAGTAAAAGGGAATGTGCCTGCCACAGAGGCGGAGGAGGGGAGGGCAGGGGAAATGCGGGGAGATGGGAGGGATACTGGGAACACTGGTGGTGGAGAATGGGCACTGGTGGAGGGATGGGCACTCGATCATTGTATGACTGAAACGTAAGCACAAAAGCTTGTAAGTCTGTAACTGTACCTCACGATGTTTCATTAAAAAATAATTTTTAAAAAAAGTGACATACAGATAGTGGTAAAAGGTCTTAGATGCCCTAGTGGTGATGATGAGGCAATAATGTATACACCAGAGCATAAACATGCACATTATTATAACCATGTTCCATCACTAGAATATTTTAAATAGAGGCTACTTTTTCTGAGGGTGGGTGGACCAAACCCACGGTGCTCAGGGCTTACTCCTGGCTCTGGGCTCAGGGATCACTCCTGGTAGCGTTCAGAGAGACTGTATGTAGTGACTGGGATGGAACCAGAGTCAGCCACTACAGAGGTAATAGGCTTGACTCTGCTATCTCTCGAGTCCCTCAACTACAGTTTTTCTAAAAATCCAAGGAGGAGACATGTTTTGACGCTTCCATCTCCCCATAGACACTTGATTACACTGGAGGCTTGGAACCTATAGGCTGTATTTAAAAAAAATTTTTTTTTTTTTGCTTTTGGGGTCACACCTGGAGATGCACGTGGGTTACTCCTGGCTCTGCACTCAGGATTACTCCTGGCGGTGCTTGGGAGGTCCATATGGGATGCTGTGAATCGGACCCGGGTCAGCCGCGTGCAAGGCAAACGCCCTCCCCGCTGTACTATCGCTCCGGCCCCAAGAACCTGTGGGTTATAGGTGAAGCATCATTGAGCAAGTTTCTCCTGGTCTTCCAGGCGCTAACGGTTCCCTCAGAATGCACAACTCACCACTACTGATTTTGCTGCATAGGATCAGAGCTAAGAAAGAGAAAAGACTTGGGGAGGATGAACACGACTTTAGATGCCTTAATGGCGTCCCTCCAAGCTATCCAATGGAAAAACTGACACGTGGCCGTAGAGGCAGCTGTGGATTCAGATCAGTGACAGTCACCGAGAATATGGGAAGCAGATTTCTGAGTCACTAAGAAGATGAAGTCACTAAGTAGACCACCCTGAAAGGTGTTCACACACCATCAGCAGGGGGATTTCTCAGGCAGAGTCAGCCCAGGCAGCCTTGAAGATGTTTTTCCAACTCCTAACCTATTTTAATAGTGCTGAAGATCTTGTGTCTAGTTGCCCTTTGCAAGGAGCTGGCTTGATCAAATGTCAGTGGTTTGGACCGAGACTTGAGTAGCCTTCTGTGAATGCCTTCGGGAAATCAATATGAACTCAAGGTCAGGAAGAGAAAGAGCAGCAGGGGCTGAAGGAACGGGTGGGAGGAGGCTCGTGCAGGGGTGATCTGTGCTTCTCAGATCCTGGATCCCGTAGACACCCAGCCTTCCCCAAGGCACCCTGGGGGGGGGGGTGGGGCTGGATGGAACCCCCCGGGGACTGTGGGCTCTAGGCCGAAAGGATGCCCCAAGGCACCCTGCTGTTTAGGCAAACTCCACCTGCTCACAGCAGCGCCCCTGCCAACTGCATCTTAAGCGACCGTTAAGAGACACTCTCCAGTGAGTATAAGAAATGCCAACATGTGACTGGAAGCCTGTTTGCCCCTACTTCTACCTGCGATGTTTCACATAAATATCACCTGTCCTTAAAGAGCTTCCGGCCAGAAAAATACTAACAGCTTTCTCCTGTCCTCGAATCAGGTGCCCATGACAATCCCATTGACACGATATGCTGCCGTCTAACCCCAAAGTCTGGTGAAGTTATTACCTCCAGTAGATTTAGTTCTTTTCTTTACTTTTTTTTTTCTTTTTGGGTCACACTCAGCGATGCTCAGGGGTTAGTCATCCTGGCAGCGCTTGAGGGACCCTATAGGATGCCGGGGATCGAACCTGGGTCGGCCATATGCAAGGCAAATGCTCTATGTGCTATACTATCTCTCCGGCCCTCCCAGTAGATTTCTTGAGGATCTCACCTTAACTCAACACTGCTTCAAAGACTTTTTATTTATTTGCTTTTAGGTTCTGAGTCTCCCCTAGGCATGTTCAGAGCTAACTCCTGGCTCTGTGGTCAGGGATCGCTCCTGCTAGGGCTCAGGTGATCTTATGTGGTTATTGGGGGTTGAACTGGGGTCATCTGTATGCAAGATCTGCTGTACCATCTCTCCAGCTTGATTTCCGATTTTTTTGTTGTTGGTGGTTTTTTATTTATTTATTTTTTTTGCTTTTTGGGTCACACCTGGCGATGCTCAGGGGTTACTCCTGGCTCATACACTCAGTAATCACTCCTGGGGGTGCTCGGGGGACCATATGGGATGCTGGGAATCGAACCTGTATTGGCCATGTTGGCTGCGTGCAAGGCAAACGCCCTACCCGCTGTGCTATCGCTCCAGCCCTTGATTTCCATTTTTTATATCCCAGCCCTCTTTCCATTCTTCCCTTACCTCCCTCCCCTCCAGCTCTACCCCTCAGTCTCCTTGATGGCCAGGTTTTGTTCCTGTTTGCAGTGGACATG